ACTCGCTTCTAGCAATAAGGATTTAAAACATTCTATGCAGGAAAAAAGCAGAATTTATTAAACTTCTAAAACAGATGCATCTTTATCACATCTCAAGAAATTTTTTCTCCTATGGAGACTAAAAATCTCATAGAAAACATAATCCATTATCTGGTGTATTAATTTCCCATGGAGCATTATCTATAATCCCAGCACTCAGGAGGCTGAGGCTGAGGCAGGAGTTCAGAGCCAAGCCTGGACTAAGCAGTGAGACCCTGTCTCAAATAAACAACCCAAAAGCTCACTTTGTATGGAATACAATAAATAAACTAATGAACCAGAATGTCCTGGTATATAGTCAGAGTGTTTTGAAGTTTTGATGATGTACTACCAAAGCATCAGTAGAAAATAAAATTTCATACAACTATCTTTTCAAACAGAAAAAAATGCAATTTATATTTTAGTCCTAAAATTAAGATTAACCCTAGGTTCATTTGAAGGAAGAGCTGCATTTTACCTGGCATATAGGCACTGTTTAGAGAACACACAAGTAGAAATCTTAGGAATTCAGCCTTAGTTGTGGCCAGTTGCCTTAAATTAATTAAAGGCCTAAGTCCTGGATCTCTTTTTAAGGTACAGTTTCACTCCCCCAAGGACATGGAGTGACTCCAGCTACATTAATATCTGACACCTGCCAGCGGCTACACTGAGGGACTAGACAGGAATGACACGTCATTAGCCCAGCAAATATTTTAGCAAATGGCTTGGTCAAGTTTCTGAAGCCATTTACTCTCTTTTTCTTGGGCTTATGCTATTCATTTTCTCATCAAATATTTGTTTCTGTAGGTACATAGTCAGTTAGCTATGCTTTTCATGGAAAATGTGACCTAGTTCTTTTTAGCATCTGAAATTCTTGATTTTATCTTAGGGGACAAAAAGAGAAGGCATTATAAGCTTTGTTTTATGGAGGGATTTGCATTTTGAAAGTTCCAGAGGGCCAAATAGCTCAGTGGATTAAAGCTCCTATAAGCAGACCCAGGAGCTGGGGGTTTGAGCCTTCGACCAGCCGTGCTGGCCCCAGGGTGTGCTGAGACATCAATTGAGACTGCATGGTGGTGTGAGCCTGTAATCCCAGCTCTTAAGAGACTCTAAACAGATGGATCACTATGAGTCTGATCTAGTAGTGAGACCCTGAACCCCCTATAGATCCTTCCCTAAAATACAAAAAAAAAAAAAAAAAAAAAAACCAAGAAAAAAGAAAGAAAGAAAGTTCCAAAGAGACTCACTGTCCATAACAGTATAATAGTCAATAATCTATGGAGCACTAATCTCTTCCAAGAGATTTGTTGAAATTCACTCAACACCACCAAGTATTATTATGATTTCCATCTTAGAATCTGCAAAACTAAATGTAAGAAAAGTTGAATAATTCACCAGAATTTCTACCCCCAGTTGGGATTACTTATGGAGCTGGTGTTCATACCACAGCACTCTGGTTCCTGCTCACAGACCTCTGTTGCAGGATATGTATATGCAGCTGATGAGTCAGGTTAATATGAACTTTTCCTTGGGAGATGGATATCCCCTCAGCATGTCAATGAATTAAAGTTTGAGTTGAATCCTAGGGGTAGATCCCCCTGTGGACAACTGCATGCAGCTATACTTACCCAGCGACACCTCCTTTGGGTAACAAAAGAAAACAGAAAGTCGTGGTTGGAATTCTAGTCCCACTCTGCATCTGTCCTTTGGCCACACCTTGACCTTCTGGAGCCTCTATTTCTTCACGTGCTGAAAGGTCTGATGTTGTGTGTCATCCAAGGATAAGGTATAAAACCAACATGAAGAACAACCAGCAACTATAATAGTAACAGTAAAAGCACGTGGTAGCAAGCAGCACACTCTGAGTGGAAGCCAGAGTTCCACAAGGTGAGGCTGGCTTTGCAGCCTTCTGTAGAAGGAACCAACCTGGAACTACTGCTTCTTAAACTGGAGGGCTCCCCTGAGCAGCAGCCCCTCCCATGTCATGGTCTGGGGAGCCCCAGATCTGCAAGTGTTTGTTAAGAGCAGCTGCCTGCAGGACGGTCCTAAGCAGGGTGGTAGGGGGACTCTGGCTTGGTTGTTCTGTCCTTCTTGTCCTCTTCCTCCCACTTGGACCCTTTAGCACTGGGTCTTTACTGCTCTGAACACACAGCCAAACTATCCTTCCCCACAAACCTTCCTTCATTGTAACGTTTCTGTTTCATACCAGGCCCTCTTTGTCCCCCTCATTTAAATCCCTAGCACTTTACATTCCAGCACCCCAAGAGACCAGTCAGACCCTCCATACTCAAGACCTTGCTTGTCACTGTGCTTCTCAAGCTCTGCTCAGACTGGGTTCAACTGCCCCATCCTAAGCACTGGGTGCCATTGGCCTCCCAAAGGCCCCTCTAAAATCCTCAGCCTTCCCTTTTTCTGTAGCTTCTTCTGACCCCAAATTTCTTTTTCCACTGGACTCCCAATTTTGCTTATGTCCTCCCAGAATTTCTACATTAAAATTCTAATTTCAAGTACTTTTGAATGTGACTATATTTATAGATAGAGTCCTAATGGGTGGCCCTAATGCAACATGACTGATGTCCTATAAGAGGAGATTAGGACGCAGATGCAGGAGAAGACCTCCTGAAGTCACAGGAAGCAGAGGGCTTTCTGTGAGCTAAGGAGAAAGGCCTGAGAAGCTACCCCTACTGACACCTTCATCTAGGACCTCCAGACCTCTTGAGTAAATAAATGTCTGTTGCTCCAGCCACCCAGTCTGAGTATTTATTTTGGCAACCTGAGTAAACTAACACAAGTCGCTACTCAGAACAGGCTCAGCCTTGGAACTGGGCCCTCTTACCTCACCCACACTTTTGTACAAACTCTAGTCACTGGAGGCATTTGTATCTACCACAGAGTTGACTGGGAGGGTGGTTTGTGGGGAAAATTTGGTCACAGAAATGTACACTGCTGCAAATTAGATGCTGCATGTTTGTTTCCACCTCAGAATTCCCATGTGTCTCTGTGAGGGCCAGGAACCCACTGTTTTCTCCCTCTCCTAAGAAGCAAACTCCCAATTCTTCCTCTCAGTCAGGGCTCTTGCTATGTTCTATCCACCTGTTGAAAACTTGCCTCTTCATTCCTAATTGGCTCAACCAAGATGATTTGCTTAATAGGATTTTCTATATTTAAAAAATTCTCCTGGGAGTATTAGTGGGCAGAAGCCAACATTCTTGTTTTTCATCCTTCAGAACCTTTTAACTGTACTGAAATCTCAGTAAAGTTAAGTTCATGTTGATGAACTCAAAAAGAAATACTTTCAAAATTTTTCCCTAGTAGTGAAGGTCTTTTTCCAAACTAGCTTATGCCAGAACCTCAAGATGTGAAACATACTTTTAAAAATTAAGAGGACATTCATATAACGTAAAAATAGCCCCTTTCAGGTTAGTAATTCAGTGAAATTTAGTGCAACCACAATGTTGTCCCAACTCCACTTCTGTCTAAATCTAACATACTTCCATTGCCAAAAAATCAAACTCTGCACTTTATTGGTTACTTTTTTACTCATTACTGGAACAAAATACCCAACACCCAAAATGAGGAAGGGAAAGGTTTATGTAGCTTACAGTTAGTGGAAGGTTCAGTCCATACTGTGCTGGCTCCAGGGCGGATGGCAGCAGTTCATGGTGACAGAAAACAAGGAAGAGCAGAGGATGAGCAGCAGCTGTGGTGTCCATCAAGCCTCTCTCTCTTCCTTCCACTCTGACTGTGAAGACCTGAGCTCCTCCCAGGAAGCGGCGGCAGCTGCTGGGCGGGTCGGAGCTCCTCCAAAGTGGCGCCCCTTCCTTGGCCTGGAGGAGCTTTGCAGCCTGCTGCTCCTTCTCAGCTCTTTGTTGTTTTCTGCCACCATGAACTGTTGCCATCTGCCTTGGAGCCAGCTGAGTGTGGACTGAAACCTCCACTAACGGTGAGCTAAGTAAGCCTTTCTTTCCTTAGTTTTGAGTGTGGGGGATTTTGTCCCAGCAACAAGTAAGAAGTGACCGAGACAGTCCTGATTAAGCATTTACTTTCCCCTTCTTGCAACCTCTAGAAATCACCAGTCCAGTTTCTGTCTCTGCGGCTTTGCCTGTTCTAGCTTTTCCTACACATATAAGCACACAATACATGAACTGGCTTTTCTCACTCAATGCTTTTGAGGTTCATTGAAGTTGTTGCATCTATCAATGGACATTCCTTTTTATGGATGAATAACTCATTTTGTGTCTAGACTGTGTTGTGTTTAACCACTCATCCCCTGAAACGTGTATAATTCTATTTGATGAACCAAGCTAAGTGGATCACAAAGCTCCTCCTCCACATCTAGCATTTCTCAAATTCCTCCAAGAAGCTAAGTAAGACCCCTGTTCTCCTACGATGAAAGGCTGTTTTGTGTGCCTGAGTAGTCCTTGTGGTGGCAATGGGTGGGCCTCTGCAGAAGATTTCACTTAAAGGAAAATATTCTGGCTCTGTCACACACACACACACACACACACACACACACACACACACACACTTGCAGGTGGGAAGTGACCCAGCAGGAGGGCTCTTCAGCTGTGTATGTACTCACAGTCCTACCAGGTCTACGGGGCCTCCCCTCCCAGTGGGCAGGCAGGCAGACCTCCTATCAGTGGTCTAGACACACCTGCCACTTTTAATGACTTCAGTCACTGGAACGCAAGCCACACCCCGGTGAACACATTCTGTACACACTAACAAATGCCAGCCAGACTGTCACTTCATGGGATAGTCACAAGTTTTCTTTGTCTTTCTGTGGAATTTTCCCAGGTGCAGACACAAAGCCCTGTAAGCATTTGACAGTTTTCTGGACTGGGAGTTTTATTGCCTGCACCACTGCATAGAGGCAAGCCTGTGTTTTGTGACGCTGTCCTCCTGGGCCAAGACGGTCCTGAGTTAGGTGCGCCCAATCAGATGGCAGGAGCTGCCTTAGTAGGCATAAGCCTGTTTTAAAAGGAGCCCTGCTGATGTAATAACAGGGAAAAAAATCCTCTGGGCAGAAGGCCTTGGGAGGGCTGGGCTGGAAGTGCAGATTCCGTGTGGGCAGGAAAGCTCGTATAATCTCAGCGGGCCACGGCTCAGGTATGAAGTGTAGCTGGTTTGTGCCCATGCCAGTGTGGAGTTGGATTGTTTGCCCAACTGGTTGAGGTGACTCTGGCCCTTGGCTTAGATCTCATCTGCTTCTGGATGCAGGAGGAGAAAGTCCAATTAATGGAAAGTGCACTGGCCCTGGGCCGCAGCCTCGGCAGTGCAGACCGTACCCAGAGGTAAGCAGGAGACAGAGCTGTGGGCGCCTTCCTTTCTGGCCTGGGAAAAGCTGAGCAGGGGAGTGGCAGAGTCCCTGCGACAGAACTCCACGTGCCTCCAGGCCTTCCCTTTGTGGATCTGAAATTTGAACTTCAGCAGAGCTATTCTGCTGTTCTTTTTAGTCTGATTAAAATACTAAAGATGCCTTGCTTTTTAATAAAATTATTGAATTTATTTGGCAAATGAGTATCAAAATTTAAAAATTGACAAAGACATAATGATGGTAGTAGCGCTCAATGTTCTTGTTGGGGGGCATTGGTAATAGTGATAGAACTTAGGGCCTTCGCATGCTAGGAAGGGCTCTACCACTGAGCTACAGCTACAGCCTTTTAAAAATTCTTTATTTTATCTTGGCTGTGATTACACACAGGAGCTGTGTTTCCAGATGTGTGCAGCCTCAGCAGTACTTTCTTATGATCAGTCATCTTCCAAATGAAAAGAAAAAATAGAGCGAAGAGATCGATTTCACATGAGACTGTGTGTGTGTGTGTGTGTGTGTGTGTGTGTGTGTATCCATAAGAAATGATAAGAAAGGCCTAGCATTCTTTCAGTTAAAGAGTTATGAGTGGGAGAACTAAACACAGAGGTGACATTATTTACAACGTTCTCTATTTGGAAGCATTTTAATTGAGAGTGCTCATAATACTTACATTTTTTAGTGATTATTCCGTACACCTAGCATGGGCTAGTTACTCCATCAATGTTGGTGAACACGTAAGTACAGATTTTCTGAACAAATGATGAAAGCTCTTTCTGTGGAATAAATCTTGAATTAAAAGGCAAGAGGCTGGCTGGTAGGTCACTTGCCTGGCATGCACAAGCTCTGGGTTTAATTCTGAATAATGAGAGAGAGAGAGGGAGAGAGAGAGAGAGAGAGAGAGAGAGAGAGAGAGAGAGAGAGAGAGAGAGACAGAGACAGACAGCTATTTCTAAATTTTGGTCTCCAACAACTGGATTCTTAGCAAGCTCCTTACTGTCTCTAGCCTCAGTTTCCCCACTGGACTGTTATTCCCTAAGGCCCCAGCTCCAAAATGGTCTCATGTTTCAGGTTTTCTGTAACTGAGTCACACCACCTGGAGACAGGATAACATCTCGGCCCCGCTTGCTTTAGGGTCTCCTTAACTCAGGTGCGTGATGCCGGCAGATTGGTCAGGCATCTCCATAAGCGACATGAGAAACCGTCCTAATTATGATAATTGTGAATAAGGCAGCGCTGAGTGAGGCCCGTGAAACAATACCGGTTACCTCAGCAGCCTGACAGGATCGACAGGATCAGCCGCTCCTCGTCTGGGCCCGACTACCTGCCTTCCATTCTGCTTCCATAGAAACATGTGCAGAAGTGAAACTGATGTGCTTGAAACAGGTGTTTAGAGGAAAAACTATGAAAACCATATGGTATTGAAGAGAAGTAAATTTCACGCTTCCTAGTCTTTGGCATCAAGCTCTGCTGTCACCAACAGTGAGAAACCAGCCACAATGAGTTTCCAACTGAACCCAATTAGAAACAGCAAATACCGCAATGAGCGGTGCTCCCCCAGCTCCCTGGCAAATAGAGCCCTTCTGTCACTTGTTAGCACATACACACGCGTGTGGACGCTGGCCGTAACTCAGGCTCAGGAACAAACTTGCCTTTCAGAAGCGTCTGCCAACCCCAGGGTGGGGAATGAAAACACCAGCCCTTGTCGGGAAAGACATCTGGGTGGCGTTTTGCAAAAGAGAAACCTGTGAAAGTAATTTTCCGTGATGAGGCTTTGGAGCTAATCGTTTGCTGCCATCTGGCTTTTGAGTTTCGGGAGATGAGTGGACGGCGAGAGCTGCAGAGTTTCTTCCGTGTTACAGATGTTGGCACCTTTTCATCTCTTCCAGTGGCCTCTGACAGAATCTGAGGGACCGGGGTGTCCTGAGTCACCATGGGCAATGAGAACAGCACCTCGGACCACCAGGTGGGTGTCAAGCAGTGCTCCCTGCCACGACACAGGCGCAGCTCTCTTACTGCTGTCCACTACGTCCTTTCCTCCCTGGTATCTTGTCGCTGCCCAGGGAGGAGCAAGAGGAAACAGAGCTTACGGTCAGATGCATGCAGGCACGTAGGCGAGTGTTGGGGATTGCCTTTTCAGAATTCTTTTTAGATTTTTCTGTTTTGATAAACTGGGAACACTAATTGTTCTTTTTATTCTGTCCTTTTAAAGTTGGTATAGGGCTGGCCAAATAGCTCAGAGGATTAAAGTGCCTGCAAGCAGGTGCAGGGGCTGGGGGTTTGATCTTTAGGCCTGCAGTGCCAGCCCCACCCCGCGGGGCACACTGAGACAGCGATTGAGATTGGGTGTGGTGGCTTGTGCCTATAATCCCAGCTCTGGGGAGGCTGTAAACAGGAGGAGTACAAGTCCGATCTATGCAGCGAGACCCTGAACACCCTGTAGACCCTGTAGACCCTGTCCTAAAACACAATAAATAAATAAATAAATAAGTTGGTGTAATGACAATTTGGCACATTTTCTCCACTCACCAATTTTGACAAATTCAGCAAGAGAACGTAAAATATAAATCTTTCCCCATATCCCTCCCCTCCGTAAAATTAGATACATCTTTTTTTAAATTTTTTTTTATTTATATTTATTTATTGTGTGTGTGTGTGTGTGTGTGTGTGTGGCCAGCTCAGCCCACCAGGGGGCGGGGCTGGCTGGCATGTGGTGCTGGGGGATCTAACCGTGGTCCCTGTGCTTTGCCAAGCTTGTTCCAAGTAGGTGCTTTAGACCACTGAGCCATCTCTCCAGCCCCACCCCTCCGTAAAATTAAGACCATGAAAAATGATTTATTTTTTTATTTTTTTTATTTTTATTTTTATTTTATTTTATTTTATTTTTTTACAAAGTTTTATTGACAAACAGATAGCAATGAGACAGTTTCAAATCAAATCGGAAGGACAGTTTCAACAAATAATACACTGTATATATTCTTCTTAGTGGTTAATTGCTGTACAAGATGCGGACTTGTGATCCTATTTACAAACACCATTAGAACAAATCATTCTATTCATTAAGAGAATGCAACTATATATCTATCCTAACCACTTTGAATACACAGATACAAAATGGACATTCATCGGTATACCCCATTTTTTCTAAGTTCCGTTATTGAATATTATAGGTGTGTAAACTCAGCAAAATATTCTAAAAGAGTCCAGTAGCCTATAATAGCATTGGGTCTTATATTTAACTGGCAATGTCAGAAATTATTGACCTGAGTTCCCCACAGCTCAACTTAACAGCATGGCTTTATTTCTTATATTTCGACTTCATACTTTTCTACTGGATGGTTAAGACCAAGGTAAAGCAGGACCTATGCAACAAGAGTTGTAGCTTTTTGGTCTGAGAAGGTCAGTGAAATGCCCTCAGGATTTGTCCTGAGATCCTGTACCTCAGATTGTAGAACCTTCATCAGTGCAGCCATGTGGATGAGTCACGGCCATTGAAAAATGATTTTAAAGGTCATCAGTGTCAAGTGATTAGATCTAAAGCGCTGCTCTCACGTTGGGCAAGGTTTTCAGAGTTGCTGAGCAGACTTTAATTGCTTCATTGTGTGTAAGGCTGAGATGATAAGAGATATCCAAATTTTGGCGTTGCCCATTTTGAGTTTGCTGATAACTGCAGAATGCCCTGGTGACCAGCATCAGGGGGAGTCTTTCCTCTTTATTTCACTCCGACTGGAAACTTTGGATTAATGATGTTGGGTTCCTTGAATGTGGACATTGGACCTGAAGCCTGCCTATGACATGCTTTTCCCTCTGGTCTTTCCCCCCTATGATCTTCTTTTCTCGAGTAGCGAAATAGAAATTGTCAAAAGAAAAAGTGGCAAGTGCGGGGATTTTAGAGGCAGGCAGTATGCAACAATTGTGGGTGTCAGACAGTAGGGAGGGGGACCCTATGGCAAGAGAAAGCCAGTGGTTGCCATTAGGAACATGGCCCCATGGTACAGGATTTTCTCATTTCTTGAAAAGAAGAAAAAAATCCGTATTTTTCTATGAAACTTGAAATACTTTTTAAAAATAAACTTTGGAATTAAAAGCAATGATAGATTATATGCGGGTTAAGGAAGTAATGCAGAGATTACTCGTACCCTTTACCTATTTTCCTGTCTCACAAAACTATCCCACAGTATTAACACTTGATCTTAGCCAAAAGGCTGAGAAAGGATTTTTATCCCCCCTGGTGTCAGGGGTCAAACCTGGGATCTTGTGCTTGCCAGGCAGGCGCTTATGCCCCTGAGCTATAGTCTCAGCTCCTCCTCCCCCACAGCCCAGTATCAAGCAGTTAGGTTATAGCACATTTGCATCAGCAGAGAGATGCCTGGTCTCATCCCTCTGCCCTTGCAGTCCTTGTCCTTGCCTCTAGCAGGTTGTTGAGTGATCTCTGTTTCCGTAATGTTGTCATTTCAATAATGGCAAAAAATAGAAGTAGACAGTATGCAACCTGTTACAATTAGCTTTTTTTCACTCAGCATAATTCCCTCAAGACTCACACAAGTTGTTGTATGTATCCTGTAGTTTATTCTTTTATTTGCTGAATAGTATTCCACAGCATGGAGGTTCCATATAGTTCGTTGAATCATCCATTCAAGCACACTTGGGCTGTCTGTAGTCTTTGGCTATGCTGTGAATGCTTTTGCAGTTTGTGTGTGTGTTTGGGGGGGGTGTGTGTCTGTGTTTTCATCTTTCTACAATAAATAAATTTTCATCTTTCTACAATAAATTGCACAAAAGTGCAATTTCCGAGTCAAATGCTGAATGCATATTTAATTTTATAAAGAACTGCTAAACTATTTCTAGTCACTATACTATTTTGCATTCTCGCCAACCGTATGAGTGACCCAGTCTCCCTGGCATCTTCGCTACCACTTGATGTTGTTACTACTTGCCGGTGCCATTCTGTTGTGGTTTTAATTTGCATTCCACTGATGGCTAGGGATGTGGAAAAACCTTCGTGTGCTTTTTTGTCATCTGTAGACAGTAATAGTGTTGAGTTTTTTATATAGTATATATAAGTTCTTTATATAGTATAGAGGAGTCCTTTATCAGACTGAGCTTTGTAAATATTTTCTATCATAATTATTGTTTTACGATCTTCATGGGGTCTTTTACAGAGCAAACTTCTCTGTGTGGGGTGTGTGTGTGTGTGTGTGTGTGTGTTACCAAGGAGGATTGGACTCAGGACCTTTGAATTGAGCTACATCCCTGGCCCTTTTTATATTTTTTTATTTTGAGAACAGGTCTCAATAAATTACTGAGGGGCAGGGGAGATAGCTCAGAGGTGTGGGCACCTGCCTGGCAAGTGCAAGGTCCTGAGTTTGATCCCCAGTACCAAAAAAAAAAAAAAAATGAGCTTAGTAAGTTACTGAATTTCCCAGGCTTGGCTGGAGTTTATAGCCCTGCCTCAATCTTCCAGAGTGCTAGGAATACAGGCATGTGCTGTCATGCCTAACAAGTTATTAATTTTGAAGAGGTAAAAAATTTCTTTTTATGGACAATACTTTGGACATCAAGTCTAACTCTTTGCCTATCCCCACATCCTAAAAGTTTTCTTCTAAAACTTCAAAAGCTTTGCACTTTTTAGTTAAGCCCATGATTCATTTTGAGTTGATTTTTATATACGGTATGAGATTTAGTTTGAGGTTCGTTTTTTTTGTCTTTAAAGTCCTTGTTTTCTTAGAGTAGTTTTAGGTTCATTAAAAAAATGGAAAGGAAGGTACAGAGATTTCCCCTGTAACCGCCTGCAATACATGTAGGCTCCCCCTAATGGACACCCTCAACCCCTGCGGCACATTTGTCACCAGTGCTGGACCTGTGTGGTTGTATTTTGTCACTCAAAGCCCACAGTTTGCATGCAGCGGCACTCTTGCCCTTGTACACTCTGTTATAATGGCATGCATCTGCCGTCACAGTGTGACAGAGGATTCAAACTCCTCTTTCTCACCTTTCAACCCCTGGCAGCCACACATCTTTTCCTTGTTTCCATATTTTTGCCTTTTCAAGAATGTCGTAGAGTTGGAATTGTCTATGTAGACCTTTTTAACGTGGGTGTCTTTCATTCAGCAATTTCACATTCCCCCAGTCTGTTTAGGGCTTGATAGCTCTTACCTTCTTATCCCAGAATCACGCTTCCTTGTCTGGATGCGCCACAGCTAACTTTTCTACTGAAGACCACTTTAGTTGCTTCCAATTTCTGAATAAGATTTGCAATAAAAAAATCCATGTGAAGGCTTTTGTATATACATAAATGCTAACTCCTTTGGGTAGATACCAAGGAGTGTGATTGCTGATCACATGACAAGGGTACGTTTAGTTGTGTAAGAACCTGCCACACTACTGCCAAAGTAGCTTTACCATTTTGCATTCCCACCACCAACGAACAAGAATTCTTTTTCTTCCACATGTTCACCAGCATGTAGTGTTGCCCGTGTTATGGGTTTTGGTCATTCTCGTAGATTTTTAGTGATACCTCATTGTTGCTATGCAGTTCAAGGCTGGCCTTGAGCTCACTTTGTAGCCAAGGCTGGCCTTGAGCTCACAGTGATCCTCCTGCCTCAGCCTCCCAAGTGCTGGGAATACAGGCATGCACCACCATGCCCAGGCTCTTGCTGCCGAGTTTTAAGAGATTTTTGTCTATTTTGGCTGGTAGTCCTCCTTTAGATACCTCTTTTGCAAATATTCTTTTCCAGTCTATGGCTTATCTTTTCATTCATTTAAGCTTGAGGTTCACTTTTCGGTATTTGTTGGTATTTTGCTCACTAATTTCTATCACTCTAGCTCCATTTGTTGGAAAGAGAATTCTTCCATTGAACTGCTTTTGCACCTTGGTGAAAAATTAACTAGGCATATTTGTGTGGCCTTATTTCTGGGTTTTTTGTTCTACTCTATGGAATGTCTTCATTACTACAGCTATATAATACATCCTGAAGTCGGGTGAAGGATCTCCTCCCCGCTAGCCTCTCCTGGAGGTTTAATCTACAGCCTTCAAATTGAGCTGCATCCCACACCTTATCCTCTTTTTATTTTCTTTGTGATAAGGTATCATTTAATCTGTAACATGCTCAGGCTGTACTTTTTCTAAATTGTTTTATCTATTTTAAGATCTATTGCCTGGCAAGCACAAGGGCCTGAGTTCAAGCCCCAGTTCTCCAAAAATAAATAAATAAATAAATATAAGAATAAAATAAATATTTTAAGATCTATAGGGTTTTTTTCCATATGAATGTTAGAATAAGCCTATGTTCACAACAACTTACTGAAATTGGAGTGGACTTATACTAAATTGATAGATCAATTTGAGAAAAATTTATTTCTTTACCATATTGAATTTTGTAATCCATGAACATATGGTACCTCTCTCATTTATGTAGATCACCTTAATCTAGCTCATTATCACCATTTTGTAGTGTGTAGTAGACAGATCCTGTATGTGTCGTGTTAAGGCTCCACACAGTGTCACACTTTTGTTGGGGTGACTATAAACGCTCTCACCCTTGTAGTTTTAGTGTCCCTGTGACTGTAGGTAGTGCACTGGACCAAGCGGTTGTTTTCGACATTGATACCTTGGGATTTTCTATGTATGGAATCGTGTTATTTGCAAGCAGGTATGATTTGCTTTCTTTTTTCCTTTCCATTCTGTATGATTTTATTCCTTTTTCCACTATTACGCCGACAAGGTCCCCAGTGCCATGTTGATTAAGAGACTGAGAGTGAATATCCTACCACATTCCCAGTCTCAATGTGAAAGCATTCTATCTTTCACTGTTAAGCAAAATATTAGCTGTAAAGGTTTTTAAAAATAGGAATATTTTTCATCAAGTTGAGGAAGTTTCTCTCTATTATAGTTTGTGATTTTTTAAAAAAATTATGATCAGGGGCTGGGGAGATGGCCCAGTGGAATAAGCACTTCCCTGGCAAGGGCCTGAGTTCAAGCCCCAGTTCCACCAAAAAAAAAAAAAAAAAAAAAAATTATGATCAGGTGTTGGATTTTGTCGTATGCAGGTGTGTATCAATTGATACAATCACAGCATCTTTATTCTTTGGTCTGATGTTATCTTGAATTATACCAGCTGGTTTTCAAATGTTGGGCCCACCTTGTCCCCGGTCATGATGTATAGTTATTGTGATATGCTGTTAGAGTCAATTTGCTAATTTTTTAAAAAGATTTATTTATTCATTTGGCACAGGGTCTCACTACACAGCTCAGTCTTGTAGTGATCCTCCAGTTTCAGCCTCCCAGTGCTGGGATCACAGGCTTGCACCACCAGGCCTGGTTTTGGTGGCCGGCATGGCATGCGGTAATGGGGACTGAACCTGAATGCTTGTGCTTGCCATGCAGGCGCTTAGACCGCCGAGCTATCTCCCCAGCCAGCGTGTCCGCTTCATTATCTGCTGTACTTACATCAGTCTGTTTAGCTGTGCAGGAAGGCATAGTTTACTGTGTTATTTCTACAGCCTAAGTCCACATTCCAATTCAGAAAAGCTCCAGTGTGTCAAATATTCCCATCAGCTCCCCATGCTCACTCACACTTATCAAACTGTGTGTTCTGTAGTTTCATTCTGCTTTGGTGTGGAGGTGACTCGAGCCCCACACAATGAGTTGAAAAGTGCTTTCCCCTATTTTCTAGAAAATTGCAGAAGAGAAATCTTCCATTAAAAAATGCTGGGGCCTGGGGATCTAGCTCAGGGGCATAAGTGTTTGCCTGGCAAGCATAAGGTCCTGAGTTTTATCCCTGGTACCGCAAAAAAAAAAAAAAAAAAAAAAAAAGAAAAGAAAAAAGAAAAAAAGAAAAGAAAAGGTGGCAATAATTCTTTTTAAACCTTTTGTGGACCCAACAATGTACCTGCTAGCTGAAGTTGACTCAGGCCCCCACCTGCGTCTCCCCTTGAAAGAATGTTCCATTTTATGCTTGACCACAAGAGGGCGTGCCATCAGCTGAGCGCTCTCCACACTGTTCTCCTTTTTTGGGGGGAGCAGGTACTGGGAATCACACTCGGGACCTTGCACTTGCCAGGCAGATGCTGTGCTGCTGAGCTATGTGCAGGCCCCACACTGGACATATTTTGGCCTTTCTTCTTTCTCACTAACCAAGAAGCTCGGCTTTTGCTGGGCCTCATAGGTCTGTTTAAACACCAAAGTCCTTGGCAGGCCACAGGTAACTACAAAGAGGATAGAGCAGTGGTTCTGACCCAAGGGTGACTTTGTCCCCCCGGGAGATATTTGGCAATGTCCAGAGATAATTATGATTAGCACATATTCGAGACATTCAAGGAGTTACTGGTATCTGATACACAGAAGTCAGAGCTGCTGCAAAATATTCTAGAATGCACACAACAGTCTCAGTCAACTAAGAGGTAGCCAGAACACAATGTTAGCAGCGCCAGGGTTGAAGAATCCTGAGTAGAGGAATGCTTGCCTTGGCGGCCTTAACAGAACTCCTGAGGGTGGGAGGTAGCTTCCTGACCTGAGATGAATCGCAGCATGACATAGGTAGAGTTTAGGGTGGCGTACCTTTTCCTCCCCGCTATCTTTACTAAACAACCCTGCTCAGAATGAAATGCTTATTGTTTAGCTACATAGATTCCCCACAATGGAATTGCTTTTAAATAAAGAGTAAGGACCTTTGAAAGGCTTTTGCTCTTATGTTGCCAAAATGCTTGCCAGAAAGGTATATCAACTAAATTTCTCTTATCATGGCCTGAAGGTCCATCTCACCTGTCCTTGCCAATAAGGACTATGTTTTTTAATGCATTTTTTAATATAAGGTCTACAGGGTCTCACTGTACAGATTGGACTCATAGTGGTCCTCCTGTTTTCAGCCTCCCAAGCTCTGGGATTATAGGTGTGGGCCACCACACCAGTCTCAGTCGCCAGCTCAGTGCACCCCAGGGGAGGGGCTGGCATGGCTTGCCGGAGATCAAACCTGTTTCCTGCATCTGCCTAAGCAGGCACTTTAATCTGCTGAGCTAGCTGGCTGGCACCCCAATAAGGACATTTGAATGCTTTAAGGCTTTGCTAATCATAAAGATCAAAATGCTCCAAGAACCCAAATACCCTAATCCCACACCCTCTTGCTACCTCTTCCTCATTTCACGTGTCCTGCCAGCTCCCAACCCCATCCTCCCTTCTCAGTTCTGGTCCAACTGGAGGAATCAGGAGGTGCTTCTCTCACCTTGTGAGTTTTCACATCTCCAGATCCAGCCAGGCACGAGGCCCCAGGACTTTAAGGCATTGCCTTTAGGGTTCCAGCACTGGAATAGCTTTGCCTTCCAGAGACAGAGAAATAGGAGCAAAGTGTTGGAACGCTTGCTGCTGACCCTCTGGAGCTCCTCTTGGGCTGGCTTTGCACATATCCTGGGAGCTTTATTTGCATCCCCCATAGCCAGCCAAGTTCCTCAAGCTAACTCAGCTTGTGTCCCTGACCCTGCTCCTGCTTCTCAATTCTTCTCCTGGTAGGATAATTGCCCTGCTATCCAAGACCACTATCTGGAAATTAACCTTGACTTTGCCCAACAGCTACCAGCTATCTATTAATTAATTAATTAATTAATTAATGGCTGGTCCTTTAGATTTCCTAATTTTTAATATAATTAAGGCTTTGGGGGTTGCAAGAGTCAGAAGCCTATCTATAATGACTCTAAGCAGAGAAGGAAATTGTTGGCTTATAGAACTGAGAAGTCCGAAAGCTCTGGCCCTGATGTTGGATGAGTCCATAGATTCCAAAGATGGTACCACAGCTCTCTCGAGGACTTGCTGTATTTTCCTCTGTAATTCTTTAGTATTCGGGAAGGTGCCACCAGACTAGGAAAAGATGCCCTTGGCAGTTTAGTCCTTGCGTTCTTCTCTCAGAGTGCAGCTCTGTCACCTCTCTAAGCAATCAGACCAGCCCCACCTGTTCTGCATGCCCTTCCTGAGATCAGTCACTGTGCCCAGCATAGGGGATCCTCTTGGAGACAGCCCACACCACAGATCATCGCCCTGTGAGCCCGGAGGGACATCATCGTCAACACAGCTTGGAGCAGCATCTCCAAGGACACAGCAGCACCACAGAGCCTTCCTTCTCGTGCCTAACAGCTTTCCCCCTTGTCATCCTTACCCCACCCCTGGACCTTTGCTGATGCTTCCAAGTTGGTGTCTGCCTCTGAGGGCTCCGCTGTCCCACCCTGGCTCTCATTTCTCCCTCATCTGTGAAGAGGCACTTACAGTCCCTGCATCCTGTTTACAAGTAAAGTCTTAGAAAGACAGATGCGAGCCTGAATGAACACTCTGTGCGTGGAGCAAGGAGCAAGCACTGCCGACCAGCCACATCATCAAGGCAAAATCAAGGACCTAGCCCATCCAGGCCTAGCCCAACATCTGCAGGTCACAGCCTCCTCACTCTTCTCTGATTTTCCGTGGGTGGCCACAGACAGGGCTGTAACATGTTGCATGGGTTCAGCCCGGGATAGAAACCAGAAGTACGGTGGGGCTCCCGATCTCTGAGGTTTCTGCTGACAGTAAGACCCCTTTGCTTTCAGCAAGAGGACGCCAGCTTGCACAACGTCATCCTGTGGCCTCCAAATCCTGATCCTCTGCAGGTATGGGGCATGCGGCGCTCTGCACGGCGCCTCCCTAACATCTAGATGGCTGCAGCATGTGGAGTGGCACGTGTGTTTGAATATTTCCATTTTCTCTTCCTTCTTCACTAGCGCCTATTCCCACCCCCCCCCCCCAGGAAGTTGTAACACACAGAAGAAATCAACGCTACATGCTTAGCTTTTCAGAAATAACATTGTGGTGTGTGTGTCCAAGAACTGGCTTGGTTGATATGCTGTGAGATGCTGAATAAGGCTTATGTTGTCAACAGAATAGAACACAGATGCTTGGAGCCAGCGCTGATCTTTCTGGACTCTGATACATTGATGTGGTTTGTCCTGGATTGAGGCTTGAAATGGTGTGGTGGCCCCAGATTTGCCACCACTGACTTTATGCCTGAGTAGTCATTAAAAAATACATTAAATTAGGAACCACAAGCTGGCGACATTATGTGAAATGCAACACTTTTTCTCTGCTTAAAGTGTTGGCCATTGACTGGAGGGTGGGAAACAAGTTAAAGAACTTCGCCTCCATTCACGATAGGTTTTCCTAAAAAAAAAAAAAAGGGGGGGCTGGGGAGATGGCTCAGTGAAATAAGTGCTGCCCTGACAAGGCAAGGGCCTGAGTTCAATCCCCCATTCCAAAAACAAAACAATAGGTTTTCCTGGAGAGGATGCAGAGGGTAGCGTGTGCTTGTGAGCGTGGTGTAGGGGGCAGTAGAGTACTCATCGTTCCATGACCTGCTATGAAATCTGCATCATACCTGTCCAGGCGTGTCATCTGCTTAAATGTTCTTTGCTATAAGAAGAAGCTGCTCTACACCTGAAGGTAAGTGTGCTGATGCCTTGGTTTTTCTGCATATCCCAGCATGGAGTGACATTTGAGGTTGGGAAGCAAACAGCTATTTCATAGAATGTGGTGAAGCTTTTATACCATGTGTAGGGTGTGCGACTTCTTCTGCTTCTCTTCATGGTGCCATGAGGCGGACAGGCCCAAGTGATTATGCTCATTTTATAGTCAAAGAAAGAGACTCAGATGGATAATCATGCCAGGTCACCCAGTGAGTGGAGGAGAGCCAGATCCCTGTTCTTCAGAGGGTCAGAAAGAATGGCCAGGCTGGTGGTTTTGGAACTGTGCTCCGGGGAATCCTGGAGCCTCCAGCGTTGCTTCAAGCACAGGCTCAGGGTCAAGGGGAAGGTTGAGAGGAGAGAATCCAATCCACCAGCCCACCCATCATCCATCAGTGAAGCTTGCCTTACATGGCCCTGGATGTAAGGCTTCTGGGAGAAAATGTCTGGAAATCCAGAGTGAGAAGTAAGCCCCCACGCTTCCCCCTGTGATTTTTCAGTGCTGTGTGGTCAACAAGAAGGGCAAGGCAACTGCCCACCCCTGCTAGACAGGGAGTGGTTTGGGACAGGAAGCCAGTTTGGAGGCCTTTAGTCCAGGGTACCGAAAGATGCCTCTGCCAGGGGAGGAGCACCGGGGTCTGGCTCCGCACTCTACCCCTCTGCAGGGCACTTCACATCAGCGTTTGAAAGCTGGGTTACAAACCCCCACCCAGGGGCCGCTCGTGGGGGGAGGGGGTTCCTGCTTAGTGGCAGGAGCTTGTTTAGATGCTGTGGATGCCCAGGGGAGCAGAACAAAGGAGGTGCTTGCTTCATGAAATTTACTTCAAGGGGCTGGTGAGATGGCTCAGTGGTCTAAAGCACCTACTTAGAACAAGCTTAGCAAAGCACAGGGACCGCGGTTCAATCCCCCAGCACCACATGCCAGCCAGCCCCGCCTCCTGGTGGGCTGAGCTGGCCACACACACAAAAATAAAATAAAGTTTAAAAAAAAAAAAAAAGAAAGAAATTTACTTAAAGTGGGGAGCCAGGTAAGCAAGTGAAAAAGTAGACAAGCCAACAAGTGATCAGTGTTCTTATTAGCACGGACGGAACTGGAGGTCGTTACGTTAAGTGAAATAAACCAGGCACAGAGAGATAAGTACTACACGATTTCACGCATGCGTAGGGCCTAAAACACTTTAATCTCTTAGAGGTTAAGAATAAGACGGTGGTTACCAGAGGACAGGGCATGGGCAAGAGGAGATAAAGTTGGTCCAGAGTATTAAGTTACAGTCAGACAGGAATGAGAGACCCAAACCACAGGCCGCACACTGTGCATCTCACAAAGCAGGAAGAAAGGATTTTAAATGTTCACATCATAGAGAAATGATAAATGTTTTGAGGAGATATACTTAACCTTATCTAAACATTATACAATAGAGTATGTATCAGAATGTCACGTGGTACTCCACGGTTATGGTTCAGATAAAACGTCCCCCGAAGTCTCACATGCGCAGATGTGGCGCTTTGGGCGACGAAATGGATCATGGGAGCGCTCTCCGCATCCGTGGATTCTTCCACTGACGACTTCCTAGCGGAACGTGCCATTTGGAGGTAGAGCCGGGTCAGAAAGGGCGTCTCCAGGGGTGTGAACGCGAAGGGTGCGTGCGCCTGTCCGCGGCTCCTCCTCGTTCCTCTGCGTCCTGGCTGCGTGAGGCGAGCCCCTTTCCTCCACCACGCTTTCCTGCCCTATTGCTCCTGCCTTGGAGCCAACCATGAACTGAACCTTCTGGAAATCTGAGCCGCAAATAAATCCGTCCTCCTTTGTGCTGCCCAGTATTTTGCTCCAGCGCCAGGACAGTGACTAACACACTCTTCACCATGTACGATTTTTATTTTTTATACCAGCGGAAATTAATTAAATAAAGAAGAGCGCACAGAGTCCCTGTCATTTACTTTGCTCTGTTCTAGCATTGAAATGATTCAGCCATGGCCTGTAAAGGGCTAATGTACTTGCCCTTTTCTTTTTTTTATTTTATTTATTTGAGAGACAGAGAGAGAGACAGAGAGAGAGAGAGAGAGAGAGAGAGTGGTGTGTGTGTGTGGCCAGCTCAGCCCACCAGGGAGCGGGACTGGCTGGCATGTGGTGCTGGGGGATTGAACCGCGGTCCCTGATGCTTTGCCAAGCTTGTTCTAAGTAGGTGCTTTAGACCACTGAGCCATCTCTCCAGCCCACTTGCCCTTTTCTATTAGGGAAACAGACAATAATTCAGTGATAAGGAAGCATTCCTTGATATTCCTCCCCAAACAGGTCTCTCTCTTTTTTTATTTTTATTTTTTATTGTGCTAATGGATAACATAAAATTTATACTTTTCACCATGTTTGGGTGGAGAGTTCTGTGGCTCATTATTTTAGGTGGATGCAGAGGCCCTGGGATAATAGAGAGTAAGAATTCCTGGGAGACCAGAGGGGCGTTGCCTTGGGAGCGCAAGACGTTCTGGTGGGAGGAGGAAAGGGGTGTTCTTGGAGGCATCAGGGCATGAAAGGGGCTCTGGCTTTGCAGCAAAGGGGGAGGGACAAAACGGCTCAGAAGTGACATTAGGGAGCAGTAATTCCTCTAACTATTGTCAAGCTTGGCATTCTGTGAGTGTGGGGAGAAGTCAACCAGCCCCTGACAGGGTTGCAAGTTAGTAGGTTCTTGGGGCTCAGTCAAGAGTTAGACAAGGCGAGACCCAGTCCTAGCCCAGGTCCGGTGTGTGGAGAGCTTCCTCCTACCCTGCGCCGGCGGGACCAGTCCCAGCCCAGGCGCAGCATGGGCCGGACCCTCTCCCGTCCCCTCGGGCCGCCCCACACCACTCTGCCGTACGTCCCCACCCCTCCC